CAAAGCTTTTAGTCTAAATGAGGCTAGAATGACCTTCCTTGGACATCTAAGGCAGTGATTAAAGGTTAGAACTGTAGAAGCTGTGAATATTTCTTCTTTAACAGCTAGAGCAGACTGTGAGGTCAAAGATCCAACAGCTAGACCTGAGACATGGCTCAGTGTTTGACTGAATCAGGTAACTGCAGACTGCTAAAAATTTAGGCTAGGTCAGACCTACTTAGAGGGGGCATAACAAAATGCGTCCATTTGCATGCTCTTTTTCTGTTAATGCAGTATAGTATTTATGGTTACATAATAACAGAAGGGTTCTTCCCTGACGTGCTGTTCCTATGGCATTGAACCGTTGCCCAATCATGCTCCCACATGCAGGGGCAAGGCCACCTAACATCTGAAGCTTGTACATAGTTTAGCCAGAACAACTTGATGACCTGTTAGTGTTTCTTAAATTCTTAAAGCTTTAACATTTTCTGTACTAAGATTCTTTAAGTTTATAAAAATAAGATAGCCATTTCTTTCACATATTTATTGCATTATTGTGAATTATTTTGCTCTGTTACATGGTTAATATTTTTAATAAAGTTCTTTCAAAACCAAATCTTCGGAATGCTTTTGTTTCCCTAAAGCCGGTTGCTTGAACTCTCATGTCAGAAGGTCACAATGAAGAATCAGTATAAGTTTCAATGCTACCAAATCAATTATAAGGTAACTTAAATTTTACATAACATTTAAAATGGGCAAGAGCTAACAATTGCATCAGTTATATTTTATTAGGTTTGTATGTATGTACGGATTACAGGAACTGAAGTGTGTTTAGAGTTTGGCTAACAATTCAGCAAAGAGAAAAAGCTTTTCACGTTAATTTTCTGAAAATCTTGGATCAGCCACATGAAAAAATGTGAACAAATGGTTTTTTTCAGCATCTCAGGTCAGATTTAGGTTACATTAGATTACATTAGGTTGGATTTGGATACAGGAATGACATCCCGTTCCCAAGAGACTAACAAAATGTTTGATTATTTTAATACACTTCAAGGAGATAATGCTCATTATATTTTTTTTTTTTCTTTTACTGCAGAAGTAAACCACTAATTATGTGAAAATGACTCCAGCATCCTCCTATAATGCTTTTCAGCATTGAAGGTAGTTCTTGCATTGTTTCCATGATCCGAAACTCTTGATTGCCTTCAAAAGGTATTTTTGCACTGGTAGAAAGAAGTGTAAATATTGTTAAGTGAAAATATTTTTTGATTGACGCCTTCTTATCAGGCCTTTTTAGCTGCTGGCCTTGACATTTTAGTAAGTCTTATTAGAGGCATAACTTCAGTATAAACTTCGTTACTATTTTCTAGTCTTTATATTTCTGGCTTTCATTAGTTTGCTATATAGTTTCTCTTTCTTACTAGTTGTTAATTGCTTTATTCAAATCTTTTTTTTTTCAGTCAAGTAGATGGATAGCCAAAGCTTTGAAATTATTTTTTCAGGGTGACTGTAGTGTTTGTAGAATGAGAAAAGAATTTGAGATTTTTTTTCTTTTGCTTTAAACATTTTCCTTCTGGTGGATGATGATGCATTTTTTCAGTCACTTCCACTCTTCTTGCTCACTGGTAAACAATACACCATTCTACATCAATGATAATGGACAGCAGTTCTAGGAGGAAGAAAAGTAATGGGAATAGGAATGGGAGAAATAAAGAAACTTAATATGAACAGTGTGTCTTACCATCGTATAGGACTTTTAAAAGTCCTAGATGATTTTATAAAAATCAAATTAGTCAAATTGTCTTGCTAGCCCAAAACTCCATGGTGGGTTTTTTTGGAGGTGAGGGCAAGGTGTCCCAGGAATCTACATATGATTTTTCAAAGCAGTTTTGTCACTTAGGGCAGGAATTTCTCACCAGACCCTAACACTTATTTTTAAACCACTGGGGAGTTGAAAAATCATGCCCTCTGTTTTCTTTCCTGTCTGCTCACTTTTTTTCAAAACGTTTTTCCTCGGTATGTTTGCTCTTTATTGCAACAGTATTGAACCTGTATTGAAGGATGGCACTAAGCATGGGTAACAGAACAGTATTCCCACTATCTTCCTTGCTTTTCATGTGCCCATGTTTTCTTTTGTGTGTGATTTGCATCTTATCCTTCACTGCTTTCATTCTTGGCAACCAATTTCTTTTTGGGGGTGATGATGTTACTGAAAAAAAGGCCTATGCGAATAGGTTTCAAGCATCTAGCTCCAATACAGCATACTGCATGTAGATGAACCTCTGATAACTTCAGCGGGGTCATGCTGGAGGTCCATCCCTGGAGCCAATAGGTGGAACTGGATGTCATGGCAAAAGAGAGGTCGCGTCTGACAAGATGTTTTTGGCTAAAGTTTTTTCTCTGGAAATTGAGACAATAAAGCTGTCTTAATTGCAGGTCATTTCAATTAGAAATTTCTGTAGCACGTACCTACCTTGCAAGGTCAAGGATGTCAGTCTTTCAGACTGTAAATACTCCAGTCTTTCAGAGTTTCTTGGATCTAGCCTCTAAACTGCATGTAGATTTGCTCTTGCAATTAGTAGGCAGGCAGTGGAGCTTGCATCAGTAGCCGAGAAGTCACAGTCTGGTGTCAAGAAGCAACAAGGGAACAAGAGAAGACTATGCTTTAGTTGGAGATAGCACTTTTTTGAACAATCACGTACTGTTTCTCAAGGTCTGCAATTTCTTGGTAATGGAAAATGCTGCATCAATGGAAGAATGAACGACAATCTGAGTTCTCTCAGTTTATTGTCAGCACTGAACGGAGTAGTGACATTTCACTGTTTGTACATGAAGAAGGAAGGTAGTTTTGAAAATAGACTCATATCTTCCTAGAAGGGGAATGTGACCTGTTCGGTAGGAATAACTGACAATATTACTGGTCTGTCCTCTCCTGCAAGATCGCTTGGACAAGTTAGCATCATTTCATGACTACTCTGGTAGGAAACTGCTGAGAAATCAAGAATATCAGAGAAGGTTAGGTTCCTTTCCTAAAGGTGTCAACAAATCCCGTTTTTCTGTGACTTTTTCCTCCTAATCTTTCCTAAGCCTGTGGTTAGAGTCCTTGGGGAAGAAGCTCCAGACAGACCTTTGATTCAGTAGTTGAGAGTCATAAATACTCAAATTAAGTGGGAGGAAATACTAAGTGGAGTTCTGAAAATTTTTGTTTACTTGCCAAGTTCCTAGAGAGAGAATCTACAAGAATGTTTACATTCAAATGAGTCAGTGAACCTTTGAATCCTATTTAGGATTAAATGGGCTGAGACTGCTAATAGAACTTGGCTATTAGAACTAGTATTTGTGTTCCTTAATTCAATCTTACCTGTACCACAGAAGCATGTATGCCTTACTCAAAGACCTGTCATGGTTGGACCAGAACCAGGGTCAGAACTCTCAAATTCCAAAACCTAAACACAGACTGCCAGAGTATGCTGTCCAGATTCTTAAATTGTACTTGGATTCCAGATAAGAGATTTGTGAAAGTTTAATATAAATATTTGTGTATTAAAATGCTGTGCACATCCTCAAGAAATGGATGTTTACAACAATGAAGTTTTCTCCTTTAGATCTGCACTTCAGAATTTTTTTGTGAAACACAGCTAGTGAAAGTGTATATAAAGTTTTAATACATGAGAAGTATTTCTTGCTTACCTTTGCAGATGCAGACATGTGGCAATCAGTATGTACTTTTATTAGAATACTTGAATTTGAATAAAAGAATAAACTGGTGTAATTTGAGCCATCCCATGTACTCCTATAGGGCTGCTCAGAAATAACGTGTCTATGTTTGCAGAACACCTTGAAGAATGGAGTTGCAGGGTAATTTTCTCTTAGTTATATAGAAGATAAAACATGTTATAACTTTTGACTTGTGAGGACATGTAAGTGATCTTTGTTCTTGAAAAGTTAGTGCAAAACTCTCAGCATGTTTGTGGGACTTTGAAAAAGTAGTGGGCTGGAGAACCTTTCGTTAGGTGACTGAAATGGTCCATCCTAATGTATCTTTCTTTGTACTAACAAATAAACTGCTTCTAAAGTCAAACTATGCTTATGTCTAAACAGAAGCAATTGAATTGAAATATTAGAACTTGAATAATCGTGAATATCAGTTATGTATCAAATGGCTTGAGGAAGGAAATACAGAATTCTGCATTTATTTAAATTAGAAAATTTAGCATTGGCTGAACCAGTGTACCTCAAAGAAAATGATGTGTACAACTTTCTCACTTGTTGAGTAGAAGCAGCTTGCACAGCTTCAGAGCTGCTTACTCATTTTTGCAGTTTTACTGAAAATGGAGTTGCATGGCTTTATGTTAGGAAATAACTCAAGGATAGTAGAGTTGTCCATATTTATTTGGGAAGAAACATCTGATCTGAAAATCTGTTTCTATTGATGATGCGTGTCATAGAAATTATACAAGTCATTTACAGGGCTGGCAATATTTTCTGAAACAGAGTGAATGTTTTAACAATTCTCAGTAAACCTGAAAAGACCCAAATGTTTTTCTAACATTGGTTTTCAGAATGGAACTGGAATATTTGAAGGCTTAAGCCAGAAATGAAAGACTCTAACCAGTGTACTTTTTCTTTGCTGAAAGAAATGTCTTGAAAAATTACATCAGTAAGGTTCCAAATTTATTTTTACTGCAATAAAAAGACATTGGAGTATTGTGTTTAATAAAACTTCTTCCTTTCCAATCACAGTCTGATTAATTTTACTACTTGTTTTCAAAAAACGTTTTGTCCAAGAATTATTTGTTTACGTAAGAATACAGAAGAGCAGAGTCTGTCTAACTGATCACTGTACAGTTGAATACAAACCCAAAATTGACTGAGCTCCGTGTTTCTTGTTTTCTCACCCCACAGAAGCAAATCATTCTGGCTTACTATTAAGTGTGTATAGTTCCATAAAGTATTGCAGCAGCAATATGATATGGTGATTTTAACCACAGTTCTCTCTCTGCAGGGGGACACAAGCACAAATCCATATGGAGGATGAATCTCCTCCTTCAGGAGGAGTCAGTGTCAAGGTCAGAGCGTGAATTTGTATTGAGAATTCTGTACTGCTCTACTCAAAAGGAAGAAGCTTGGTTCCATTTAGCAGTAGTACATGCTAGTAGCTTTCAAGATAAACAGAAAACCAAAACTATAGGTAGGATAATGATACTAGCGAAAGGAATGTTGCTTATGTGATCCACAAAATATTAGAAGAACAATATATTCATTTTAATTAGGTTGAATTGCTCCTTTGGCTTACAAAGCTGGTTTAATTTAGTATTAAGTTCTAAAGTTACATGTTCCAGCCTAGTGTTTCAACAACATAAAATTGTTAGAATTAACTTTTGTAGCAAAATTTGATGTAAAAACTTCCTCCCATTTTTCTCTTTTATTTTCTTTGAACGCTCTACATGTAAAACTTAATGAAACATCATTCAGATTTTGAGCTTAATGATGATGCCTTTTAAGGTGATCTGTATGACAAATAAAACTGAATAACCAGCTTTCAAACTGATTGCTGAGGTCAAATGAAGTATAGAAGTTTTAGGAATTCTTGAGGCATAACTGATACACCTTTGGGATAGGTAGCTGAACCATATGAAATCTCAAATTCTGGTCTAACTCTGTCTTTCATGACTTTGTGCAGTATAATGAGGGAACTGATCACTTATGGGACATAAATATTGGCAGGCTGATAGTTCAAGCTGTTTTTTGTATTTTTGGGACAAAATATAATGGAGAAGTGTGGGAGGGGAGAAAGGTGAGAGAATATCTCTTACTGAGTTGAATGTAATTCCAGAGACAGGATTTAGATTATGGATATTTTTTAGTCTGATAAAGTTTGTTGTTACATCTTTTGTAAAAAAAAAAAAAAAAAAAAAAAAAAATCACTATCATAAGTGTTTCCTTGGGTAATTTTTATAATAGTGGATTTTTTTAGTGTTAAGAAATGCTACAGTTTGGATTTTTTTAACCTGTTAATTATAAGGGTAGAACATGAGTGCTTTGTAGAAGGAGGTTGCAGAAAAAAACTTTTCTATTTAAGATGATGCATTCTGACCCACTGTGCGCTTGGAATTTAGAGCCCACATTTTGCAGAAACCAATATGTTATTCCAGTAAGGGAATCTGTACAATTGAAGGACACCCTGACTGTCCTTTTGAACCTCAGGCTTCATCAGTCTTGAACAAAAGTGGAATGCAGTTTTGTTGATGCAATTGGAAGATTAGTCTGTGATGCTTTCAGTATTCATTATCATATTTTAAAAGTGCCTAAAATCCTCCATAGAATTAATGCTAACTTCTTGACATAAAACAAATTGTTCTGCAAAGAGCAGATGAATGAAGCCTGTTTCCATATGGATTAATATCCTTCGTCTCATAACCCTGCTATGTGTCATGGAGGACAGCATTTGCTGGGATTAGCTTGGACCTACTTGCTTGCTGACTTATTTCATAATGTACATGTCTGATTGTCCAGCTGCCTCCTGCCAAATGGATTGTGTCAGCAGAATCATACTTCCCTTTCACTTGCAAATTTGGCTGAAATTGGGCAGTTATTTGGTGTGAGGAGATGGAGAAAGAACTAGTGTGATCAAAACCACAGCTTTTCTTTAGGGAAGATGACAAACACTCCTTTCCCTTCCTCAGAAGTATACTATAAAAAAATGTGTGATTAACTGCTATTTGTTTAAAGATTTTAATTCAGAATTAATTTAGGGATTATTTCTTTAGTTTCAAACGTTGTCTATGTTTCTGTGTACATTTTTTCATAGTAAGCGATACTAATCAAAAAAGCAGTATCCTTATGACTGACATAACATGCTTCAGACTCTAACTTAGAATTTATTCACGTTTGTTTCAGTCAGAGGTAGAAAAAATTATATTCTATAATAAATCATTTTGTAAGTCTGCTACTTGCTAGAAATATACTGATGATGCAATCCTCACTGTTACATGGTGAACTACATAATGCCTGCGATAGGCAAAATCTTACCTTCTGATCTGGCAAGTAATGCTGCTTTTCTTTCATGTCCAGAACCTGTTTTAATTTCAGTAAAGAAAATTAGATGCATACTCCATGCAAAATTTCCTATTAAATTTTGATACTGCAACATTTTGCTGATTTATGCTATACTAAAGCAGTAGAAATGTTATGTGAGATTCAGACATTAGCTTGACTAGTTTTAATGTGTGGAGAGATCTGTTTTTCTTTAACTATAAACTTGTCATTTGTCATTGGCTAAGCTGGAAAATGCTCAATTATCTTTTTTCTTTTATTATATGTCTACTTACGTAAAATGCAAATATTCTTAGGAAGTTCCCAATAGATTCAATAATTGTTGAAACACAGAAGTAAATTTCAGAAGTAAAGGAGAAACGAAAAAGTTTCTAAAATTTTCTCAAGTTTCCATTTTCAATGCATAAAAACAAATGTGTGTATTTTTCAAAGATAAATATATTCTTGGGTAGATTTTTTATGGTTTCTTCTTTTAACAGTAATTTTAGCACCAGAGGAAAAGACACAAATTATTTTCAAATTTTGAATGTATACTTTACACTTTATATTAGAATCCTCTACATTGAATTCTATAAGGTTGCAGTTATGTTGTATGAATATAGTGAAAACAGGACCTCACCATTTAACTTCATATATGATACTTTTCTCCATGCTTATAGATCCTTTCTTTCTGGATCACAGTATAGTTTATTTGTTTATTTTAATGGCTTCCTTCCAAGTATTGTTCTAGAATTAAAATACTGGTTTGTGGTTGAGAAAGGAGATGGTGGTGTTTCTCTAAATTTATCCTTTTTACTGTGCAAAGGTATATATTTCTCTCTGTGTAGGTATTTGATATCATTTTTTATAATATCAGGTCTTGGAGGCAACATTATTGTCAGCCCTGAAGATGCTGGATGTTGGGAAATGGCCAATTTTTTCTCTCTGTTCCCAAGAAGAGCTCAAGTTAATTCGTCAAGCCTGTGTATTTGGCAGTGCTGGTAATGAAGTGTTGTATGCAACTGAAAATGATGAGGTAATTGTCCAAGAGTGTATACGAACATGACATATTTAGTCATTTATGTATCGAGTTATTCTGAAAGCCAGTACTATGATAGTATACCTAGAAAAAGTTGCATGCAAAAATGCCTGATCATTTTGATTGCTACTAAAACATTTTCAATTCAAATTAATGGCTTCTTACCACAATCAGAGGATAAAGAGAAGGTGGAGTTAGACATTTCTTGGAGGAGCATAGTGACAGGCTGAGAGGCAATGGGCACAAGCTGGAAGATAGAAAATTCTGATTCAGTATTAGGAAAAACAACTTACGATGAGAGTGGTTAAATCCGGGAGGGGTTGTGAGATCTTTTCCTTGGAGGTGTTCAAGACTCAACTGGACATGGCCTTGAGTCAACTGATCTATTTAGACCTTTGTTGAGCCAGGCCTTTGGAGGTCCTTCATTCCAACCTAAGTTATGATTCTGTGATTCTTTTATAACAGGTTTTTGTGCTTGGCATGAACTGCAGTGGGTGTTTGGGAACAGGTGACATGCAGAGCACTATTGAACCAAGGAGGTTAGATTCTCTATGTGGCAAAAAGATAGCCTGTCTGAGTTATGGAAGTGGCCCTCATGTTGTTCTTGCTACAGAAGGTAAAGTATGATCTGAATATTGCTTTTTCAGATACGTCCACTTTAATTAGTCTAGCAGGTGTGAAAGATCTTTGCTGGTAACGTAAAAGAAGAATTGGGATAGACATTCTGGGCTATCAAGTCCAATGTATTTTCATTGGTGAACATGACATGTCAGCTGGCTCTGTTCATAGCTAGTTCTTTTCAAAAGTTTTTCAAGCTCTGCTTTGATCTTGTTACTACTTTTGAAAGTTTTATTTTTTTACTTTGCAGTGAAGTTTGGAACTTCTGATTGCTTTTAAAATGCATTAGTGGCTACATTATGCCCATATGTTTTTGTGCCAACATTGTCCTTTAGCTAAAATGCATCTTTTCCCTCCTGTACCTACTTTTGGATGTGCTTTAAAGACCAGTTATCTTGCCTCTCAGCCTTTTGTTCTCTGTTGTCTCATTGACATTCTATTATCCACATCACGCTAGTGGCCCTTCTGTTCATAATCAAGTACATTATTCTCAAAGACAAATGACTAATATCACGTTCCCAGTGAGGTTCTGTTAGAGCCTGACTGATGTTAAAATTTGTCTCTCTTTCTCCATTAATGAGAAGAAATCTTTCTGAGTAGTCTAGATTAGATGATTAAAGGTAGGTGAGGGGAATTGTCTTGTAAATGTGTGACTGTTCTTTATATTCAATTACATTCCATTTTCTCCAGTCTTCAGGGTAAACCATTCTGGATGCTTTTTTATATATGTATCTGTATTCTTCTGAGCTTTGTTGCTGGCAGATCTCACTGACACACTCATACTCCTTACCCAGATGATAACTGAAATATTGCAAAAGAACAGGTTCAGAACTCATCCTTGATGATTTTTACTCATAACTCCATTCACATGAATAACTTCCATTCAGCACAGCCTCTTTTAACCTACCTTTCAGCCTTTACGTATTTCACAATTCTTGTGTTAATTATTATCATTTCCAGTTTATGTTGTATGTTTCTATGTGGCTGTTTCACCTGTTTACTGAAATTTGTATTCTCATGTTGGTGAAAGGAAGAGAAGGTTGTTTGCTTTTGACAGTATGAAGTCATTAGATTTAACCTGTTATTGTAGAGAAATACTTTGCCTTTTTAGTTCTGAGGGAACTCTTCTTAGGAATAAGCAGTTTGGTGATCTCTTTAGAAATCTGATGGAGTTGTACATCAAACCTAGCTCTCCTGCAATAATGGTGTAATTTAGGTTTAGAAAATGATGATGGTTATAATAGACAAGCTGAATGTAGGACAACTATTCTTCAAGTCCTGCACTACTGTAACTAGAGGACACTAGATTTAAAATAGGTGAAAGAAAGTGAGTATGACAAGGTGTTAGCTTCATGGATAATGGGCCAATATATGTACATTAAAGAGTATCAGAAGTACCTGGTAATATCTGTACTCTAGTGATTGTAAATGCTTGGGAACTGCAAAAAGTGATCAGGCTCCTGTTTCCCTTAAGCAGCAGATTTTTTATATTGCCAGTTGGAGACAGAATTTTGCACCAGGTGGACCATCGGTCTAACTCTGTCAGATATTTCTTATTCTTAATTTTACTAGCATGTTTCTCAAAATACAGGACATGAATAGTATGTTTAAATAATAAGTAAATAATAGTATCTTTATTAATAACTAATAATAAGTTTTTCTTACAAGCATCTTCAGGTATATTGTAAAGGAGTGAAAGCTTGTTATTTGAATGTTCCAAAGTGGGAAACAGTGCCAAGGCGTAGATAAGAAATTTTGATTGATTGTCAGTAACAAAGAAATTGAAATGGGGTCTCCTGACTGTCGTTTCATCCTTTTCTCTTCTGTATTGCACTAGATCCTTTCTTTTAGCTATATGATTTCCTTTAGTAAGATTGTGGTGATACTATCCTTTTGGATTTGTGGTCAACACTGTGTGAAGGTAACAGTGGTATGTCCATGGGCTTAAGAGCCCCAAAGGGCAACACTTAAATATGTATATTGTTATTGAATTTGACTTTTCAGTTTGTAATTTTATGTTATGTACTTATTGAAAAAACAGAGATTTTAAACCAGCCTTTTACATTTTTATTATAGAAGGAGAAGTGTATACATGGGGTCATAATGCTTATAGCCAGTTGGGCAATGGTACAACAAATCATGGTTTCGTTCCCTGTCAAGTCTCTACGAACTTGGTGAACAAGAAAGTCATTGAAGTTGCCTGTGGCTCTCATCATTCTATGGTGTTAACATCTGATGGAGAGGTGAGAATAGCTGGAATAAATCTCTCTTTTCTCTTAATGAAATTCACGTATGTGAGAAACAGGAAAACCTTCCGCACCTAGAGCATTAGACCTTGCTTCTTGCTATCCTCACAGTGCTGATGAAACACAAATGTTTGATAAAAATGGAAAACCTGTTAGGGTCTAGCTGCTTTGAAGTGCATGCAGAACAGTGATTTTTGTGCCACATCTGCTTGTAATAAGAAATTATAATTTCTTTGTAGAGGGCAGCCAGTTCCTTTCTGTGCTGTACTCTACTGTAAATGCTTAATGGTGTTACAGCTGACATTAATGTAAATCACATTCATGTAAGGAGTTCTGTCCACCAAAGTAAAAAGTTTTCTGTCATTTACTTTGAGGTGCCATTTGTGTCCAGTTAGCCATTCTACTTTGGGTTCTGGAAAACTAGCAATGAATTCTTCCAGCATTAATGTAACTGTCCTGTTGCCTCTTACCTTTGATTGGAGGAACATAAAAGAATAGAATATTTAAATATTATGAGTGGAATATTTTTGATAGAAACAATTAAATTGTAAACCTATGTATCCGCCTAGATCTTTAAAAGAATGCATCCACTTGAACGCAAAATGTAATTTTTTATGCATACAACTTTTTTCTCTCTTGAATATGTACTTTGAACTGTATGTTATATAGCCTTCTTTTATGACAATTCTCTTACAACAGGTATACACATGGGGTTATAATAACTCAGGCCAAGTTGGATCTGGTTCAACAGCTAATCAACCAATTCCTCGAAGAGTTACCAGCTGCCTACAAAATAAAATAGTAGTTAATATAGCTTGTGGACAGATGTGCTCTATGGCTGTGGTGGAAAATGGAGAGGTAAGAAACTTTAAGTGAATTTTCTAACTGAATTTTATTTTATGTAATATCGTGGGGTGTAGATAATTTCAAACCTGTCAGTAATGAGTTACTACTCAGAAAACAAGTATACCTTTCCAGACTCCCTCAAATCTACCTGCTTATACTGCTTATAAAAACCTTTGTCGTAAATTGTCCTGCACATTCTGACATACTTACGCACATCGTCCTAATCATGCTGATTATAGTTTCTTCTTTAGAAAGGAGGTAGAGTGAAACAGGGAAAATTGTTCAGTAACATTTGGTTTATGGCTTTTTGGTTTATGAGATTACTCATAAAATTTAGCAGCTATTACTTTGTATCAACTATTGAAGTTGGCTTTGAATTGAAGGAATTCAAGTATCAAATTTCAAATTTACTTGAAAATACAGTTCTGAAGTAAAAATAGCATTGTGAGGGTCAGGAGACTTTTAGAAATTTTGGGATTAAATCATATCAAATCTATATATGTATATTTAGCATTTCATGCTAGCTTCATTTTCTCTATGTAAAAATAACTAAGTGTGTATCACTGATTTACTGTTTTTTAAAGCTGGTATTATATTCTGGTGTCCTGGTTCCGGCTGGGACAGA